GCCATGCCTGGGCTGGGAGCAGGCGGGCGAGCAACGGTGGAAGCCTAAGGCGGGTTGTTTCTTACAGCAAACATTTAAAAGCAGAATAAGACTAGAAAATCCCCATCTTTTGGTAATGAATCCCCTGTGTAACAGTCTTAACACCCAGACACGACACGCCTGTGGAATTTCTGACATTGTTGCAAACTGAATCCTGCTTTCCCACCCTGAAATTTCACAGCAATTTACCTCTCCAAGCCATCAGGGATCACTGCTTGCAGGCACCGAGGGGGATCTCCCATCACTTGTCTGCTTTCTGCAGCCTGTGGTGCTATTTTGGAAATTCTCTCATTTACTGGGTGGTTCAACTGAGTACAACTGCTCCTTTGGCTAAAATCATCCCCTGCCTGTCATCTGGTAATTAGAAAGCACCAAAAAGCCAGTGGTGCTTAAGGCGGCTCTGGAATAACCAAGGCAGCTTTTTCTTTTGTGGATAAAGGACTGGGCTTTGGAGGCTGTAGACTTTTCCACTGAAATCAGATTTTGCTTTAAAAAGCCGGGAAAGGTAACACTGGGTGAAAAATGACACCCAGAAGCACAGCAACACAAGAAGGGCAATGCCGCAAATGCAATGAGGTGGGTGAGAAAAGCAAATGCCTTCTGTTGGAAACACCGGGGGGGAAAAGCAAAGATAATTTTGAGGCAGGGGAAACAAAAGAATTTTTAAAGCCCATCCCTTCGGGTTTGCCCAGTTCTTACTGGTGCCGCAGTTAGAGGCAGTTCACGACTCTCACAGTTCAGCTGGAGCTGGGCTGAGGACCTTGTGAAGAAACCAGAAGTGAACTCCTGCTGCTGGGAGGACATCTTCATGGATGGCAATGCACCGAATTGCACCTCACCAGCCACTCGTCCTCTTCCAGCAGGTCACTGGGATGTCCTGCAGAGCCAGGCTGTCTGTGGTGCAGGAAAGTTCCTTTTCCAAGTGCCACCCTTTCCTGTTTGCATTGCAAACTGAGCATTTCCTTGTCTGAAAACGGCCTCACAGCCTCAGTGTCTGGCATATTGCTTCCTGTGGGAATTATTGTGACCACGTGTCCTGGTTTCGGCTGGGATAGAGTTAATTTTCTTCCTAGCAGCTGGCACAGTGCTGTGGTTTGGGTTTAGTATGAGAACAATGTTGATAACGCACCGATGTTTTAGTTGTTGCTAAGCAGTGCTTACACTAGTCAAGGACTTTTCAGCTTCTCATGCCCTGCCAGCGGGAAGCTGGGAGGGGGCACAGCCAGGACAGCTGACCCAAACTGGCCAAAGGGCTATTCCATACCATACAATGTCATGCTCAGTATATCAAATGGGGGGAGTTGGCTGGGGGGCGGCAACCGCTGCTCGGGGACTGGCTGGGCATCGGTCAGTGGGTGGTGAGCAACTGCATTGTGCATCACTCATT